CTGGGGGAGAGTTCTTCTGACAAGCCCGCAATGGCTGCTCCAAGCAGTGCTGGATGTGCAGCCTGGGGTGTGTGTAAGAATCCAACCAGGGGGCTGGGAAGGTGGCTCAGTGATAGAGTGCTTGCCTTGCATGCCTGAGGCCCTGGGTTCGATTCCTCAGCACCAGAAAAAACTGGAAGTGGTGCTGTGACTCAAGTGGTAGCATGCTTGCCTGGAGCTAAAGGGTACAGAGACAGCGCCCAGGTCCTGAGTTCAAGCCCTATAACCAACCCAAAAACAAAAACAAGAATCCAACCAGGTCCCCCCAAAAGACAAACCAAGGGAACATACTTTACTCAGTCACTTAACTAACACAGATGTCACCTCCATAGATAGCTCTTCCCCAACCAGAATGAGGCATCTGGGATTAGGTTCTACTGGGAAGCCCCACCCTCCTCCTCTTCAATGCCAATGCCCACCAGAGGTCGCCCAGCTCTGCTTCTGCTTTCTGGCCTAAGCCAAGCCCTCCCGTACCCCTTCAACTTCTACCTCACATGCTCATTCACGACAGAGCAGTGTGAGTAACAGAGGGGAAAAGATGCTCCCAGCTGGGACCAAAGCAGCATCTAAAACAGTGGTTCACCAAGCCTCCTGTACGGTTCACAAGCATCTGGTGAATGTATAATACTTTGCAACAAATGAGTCTTGGCCAGGCACTGGCAGCCTAGGCCTAGCAACTCAGGAGGCTGAGAGCTAATAAGAATGGCAGTTCAGAGCCAACCCAAGGAGACAGAGCTGAGAGACTCTTACTTCCAATGAGCCAACAAAAGGCTGGAAGTAGAACTGTGGCTCACGTGCTAGAGCACCGGCCTTGAGCGAATAAAGAGAAGGGACAGTCCACACCGGGGATTGACCGGATGTGACTTCAGGTCAGGGTGGCACACCTGCTGCTGGGGACACCCAGGGAGGTGACAGAGCTTGTACTCAAGGCTAGCGCTCTACCACTGGAGCCACAGCCCCACTTCCGGCTTTTTCTGCTTATGTGGTGTTGAGGGGTATCGAACTCAGGGCCTCAGGCATGCGAGGCAAGCGCTCTACCACTGAGCCACCTTCCCAGCCCTTGTTGTGTGTTTGTTTGCTTCCTGTAATCCTGGGGTTTGGACTAAAGGCCTTGCATTTGTGCAAGTGTTCTGCCAACTCTTTTTGTTTTAGAGTATTACTATTTTTTTTTAATCTTTAAAGAGATGTACAAAGGCGTTGCCATTTAACAGCAGTTGATGAACACAATCCATGTCACTCACATTTTTACCCATCCTTCCCAAGCCAACCTTTCCCTCAACCTTTCTCAATTTGTAGGCTATACACTGAATTCTTTTATTTTTTTTTGTCGGTCGTGGGGCTTGAACTCTGGGCTTGGGCGCTGTCCTTGTGCTCTTCAGCTCAAGGCGAGCGCTCTACCGCTTGAGCCACAGCACCACTTCCGGTTTTCTAGTGGTTTATTAGAGATAAGAGTCTCACAGACTTTCCTGCCCGGGCTGGCTTTGAACCGTGATCCTCAGATCTCAGCCTCCTGAGTAGCTAGGATTACAAGTGTGAGCCACCAGCACCTGGCTACATTGAATTCTTGACTTACTCTCCACCCATTTCTCCTCTTCATTCATCTACTCCTTTCTCCTGGTTTGTTTTCTTTAAAAAAAAAAAGGTCTCAAGGGAGGCCTTGGATTCCATCTTATCCCCCCTCCCTCCCTCCTTCTCTCTCTCTCACACACACACACACACACACACACACTCATCTTCCCACCCACCAGCCTTTCCTTTCCCTTTCCCTGACTAAATCCTACACCATTTCTGTGCTGATTGGCCTCTGAAGGCCATACCCAGTTGGTTCATTACTGCCAAAATTCACTATCATTCATAACGAGATTCAACTTCCTTCCCACCCTGCCTAAGGTCGAAGTAGTCTTAGAACCCACCATGTCCTGTGGCCCATTAATCATGCAGATAAAGTATTTCTTTGAGTTGACACAAATCACTGCCCAGATCTTCTGAGAGTAGCAAAGTGTATTTTACAAGACCTCACTTAACTAACAGAATCATTCAAATGATCGTGATATTATAATGATGCCATCATAAGCTTGATTTTTGTTTTGGGGGTATTTTTTAGTTGTTGGAGATTTACTGCCTTTATTTTACAGGAGGTGGTGGTTCACAAATTTCAGAATAATAATGTATAAACTAAGAATTCAAGTACCAGAAAGCATGTTTTTAGACATTGATAGAAAGAAAGAAAAAGAGAGGGAGGGGAAGAAAGGAAGGAAGGAAGCAAGCAAGCAAGCAAAAATGTGAGTCTGATGTTGCTAAGATGCTAACTTTTAAAGACAGAATTATTTCAGTGTGCCATCCCTATCTGTGTAGCCTCAAATCTTTGGAGGGCTCTATCAGGAGGGTGTCTTGGTTGGCAGCCATCCTGGGATTTTAAACATCCCACCCACAAAGGACTTGTTTATACAATGGGCCACTGAACTGCCAAGTGCTCGTTATTGTATGGGGAGTAAGTGGGCGGGGATGTTTTCAGATACGGTTGAAGTCAGAAGCTGAAGATCAGAAGATATGAATAAGGAAGTTGTGTCTGTGTGTGTGTGTGTGAGACGCGCGTGCACATGTGTGCACACACGCATGTGCATTCCAGTACTGGGACTTGAACTCACGGCCTCACAATCTCACTTGTCTTATTTCTGCTTAAGGCTGGCACTCTGATCGCTTGAGCCAAACCTCTACTTCTCGCTCTTGGCCGGTTAATTAGATCTAGGAGCCTCACTGATGTATCTTGCCCCAGGGCCAGCTTCTAACCACGATCCTCAGATCTCAGCCTCTGGAGTAGTTAGGGTTACAGGTATGAGCCACCAGTGCCTGGCTTTAAAGAAGCTATTCTTGAGAATGGACCCCACAGAGAGTTCCCATCCTACCACCGCCACCTCCTAACTCCTTTTGACGGCAGGAGAATGGAGACCTGTACCCCTTCAACTGCCAGGAGCAATTCACTCAGTCGATCCACTTATTGCCAAGACAAGAGGCAAAAGCTTCAGGTTCTGGGAGACTGAGGCTGGCCCAGAGAAGCCCAAGTGAGGCTGAATTACTCCCCAGATGGCCAGCAGTGCAGAGATAAGTCTGTGTGTTCTAGCTAGGGGCCCCACATTTGTTACCAAGCGGAGGAAGTCAATCAATCACAGGACCCCTGAGGAGAAGAGGACTAGCCAACTTGTTCATGGGGTTCTTTGGATCTAGAATAAGGTCTCTCCATGTAGCCAAATTGTCTGTGTGTGTGTGTGTGTGTGTGTGTCTGTGTGTCTGTGTGTGTCTGTGTGTTTTTTCTACATTGCTCAGAACTGGCTTCATATTTCTGCCTTCTAGGATGATAGGTGAGCCCCCACCAGGCCCAGCTCACTCCTAATTTCTGCGTCTGCTGTGATTTATATTATGTTTGGAGACAGCGCCACAAACATAGGTCCAGCAGAAGGTCTCTCAAAGGAGAAGTTAGGAAACGGTGGTTTGTGGTGGCAATGTAGAAAGAGAATTGTTGCCTCCTCCTTTGGTTTTCCCCTATCTTCCCTCCTCCCACCACAACTGCTCAATGACAGAGCGCAATAATCCAAAGGCTTGTCGGAAAGGGACCCACTTACACGTGGGCTGACGTCAGGTCCAGAAACTCTGGACAGCACAGGGTGCACAGCTCGGCCTGGACTTTTGGAACTAAGTCAAGGGGCCTGTGCTTGTGACAGCCATGGAGGGCAAACCCATGGTGGGACACTGTACCGGCAGGGATGCTCGTACCTAAACCACCCTAACGCTTTTCTCAGAATACCACCAGCCCACACCTAAAAGAGCTGTAATACAGAAAACAGATGAAGTCGCCCCAGTGGAGCCCAGTGGATTCTGGGTAAAAGGCTTTGGGAGAGCCCTCTTCAGGAAGAGCTCAAGGAAGAGGCAGAAAACAAGTGCCTTCCTTGTGACGTCACCAGGATACAATGTGATGTCATCCCTGTAAATGCAGGGACTCACTTCCTGGAACGGCCTATTTTTGTGGTTGCTCCAGTTCCTGGGGCTCTGAGCTCAGGGCCTGGGCGCTGTTGTTCCTGAACTTTCTCACTCAAGGCTACAGCTCTCATCACTTGAGCCCCAGCAGCTCCACAATCTGACTTTCTGGTGATTTAGTTGGAGAGAAGAGTCTCATAGACTTCCCTGCTGCGGCAGGCTTGGAATTGTGACCCTCAGATCTCCAGCCTCCTGAGTAGCCGGGATTAAAGGCGTGAGCCACCAGCGTTCCCAGACCTGGGCCTAGTAGCCTAATACAGGTTGGTAGTTTGACTCCAAGGCATGAATCAGACAAGGAATCTAGGCCAGGATGAAGGTCAGGAGGAGGCGCAGGGCAGCCCCTTTCCTTCCCAGCTCCTCTGTAGTCTCTGAGAACCGGTGCTACTTTAATTACACCTGATGTGGGGGGGAAATGCACCATGCATCCAAGGCAGAGACGCAGATGGGATTAAGACACAAGGGGAAGAACCCTTAGGGAGCTGGAAATTCTAGCTCACTGGCTTGCAGTGTGTGTGCCTCCTGGCCTCCTGTGCAAATGGCCTGAGGCAGAATTCAGCCAGGGAAGACCTGTGGTGGAATTTAGAAGCTCCCTTGAGGAGAAACTTGTTCCTCAACGGCCCACAGAGAAATGAGCCATTGCTTCTGCGAATGCTGCTTTGAATGGGCGTGAGCTAGTGCGATGGCTTGGCAAATGCTGATGGAGGCTGGGAAGGTGGCTCAGTGGTAGAGTGCTTGCCTCGCATGCCTGAGGTCCTGGGTTCGATTCCTCAGCACCACATACACAGAAAAAGCCGGAAGTGGCGCTGTGGTTCAAGTGGTAGAGCGCTAGCCTTGAGCACAGAGAGGCTCAGGGGACAGTGACCAGGCCCTGAGTTCCAGCACTAGGACTGGCAAAAAGAAAAAGAAAAGGTGGACAGCCAGTCACTTACGAGCTCTGAGAAGCCGCGGACCACCTGCCGCCTCTTGAGGTTGGTCTCGCCGTCCAGATTGGCGGTCTCGATGTGGCACAGGCCGTCCGGGTCACTGGAGGACAGCAGCAGGATGTCCGCCGGGATGATCTCATTGCAGCGGAGCCGCACGAAGTCTCCCACGTGGATTTCTTTCCAGAATCGGTTCACGTATTTCTTCTCTTCCCTGGTAAAGAGACTTCAGTCAACAGGACTGATAAAAGGCTTCACACATAGACAGACAGACAGACAGACACACACACACACACACACACACACACACACACACACACACACACACACCATGTCCTGGGGCCTGAACTCAAGGCCTGGGTGCTATTCATGAGCTGCTTTTGCTCAAGGCTAGCGCTCTACTACTTTGAGCCACAGTTCCACTTTGGTTTTCTGGTGGTTCATTGGAGATAAGAGGCTCAGGGGGACTTTACTGCCCAGGCGGGCTTTGAACCCTGATCCTCAGATCCCAGCCTCCTTGAGTAGCGAGGATGATGGGCGTGAGCCCCGGCGCCCAGCTCTGACACGAGCTTTAACACAGCTGAAGTTCAGGAAAGGCCATATTACCATTCTCTCGACTTTTGCATCTATTGAAAAGTTTCCATAATGAATTTTTTTAAAAAAAAATAAGCATAAAACTAAATATTGCTTAACTCCACTTATGTGAAAAGCCCACATGTCACAAAATCTTACCAGATAAGGACGTAGATTAGCAGCTGCTGTGGGCAGCAGGGCAAAACCAGAGACTGACTGCTTTACTTCCAGGGGGTGACAAAAATGCTCTGGAGATGGGGAAGGTGGTGGCTCAAAGTCTGTCTGTGCAAAGAGTTAGCAAGACCTCATCTCAACTAATAAGCCAGGTATAGTGGCACACACCGGGAATCCCAACCAGGAGTGAGACGGTAGATCAGAATGAACTTAGTCTGAGAGACTGCAGACGGGGCAGCGACAAGGGGAGGGCAGGGTATCCTCGATCCCTGGGATCCAGACAGTCGGAAAGTGAGCACAGGTCTCCAAGGTGCCCAACCTCATACGGCCAACATGGCGGGCAGGTGGCTGAACGCCAGAGCTAAGCGAATGCACACAGCTAGAGAAACAGTCACAGCGATGCGTGCACGCAAGCACCCTGTTCTCTCGGCGTTTCTGGAAGCGGTAAGGTCCAGCGGCATGCCCACAGAGACAGAGAGGGTCCTCTCTCCAGACATTCCCAGCGTGCATCTGTCTCCCCCATGGCCCCCTCCGTCACCCCTGGCACACATTTCCCATCCAGACTGTTTAGTCTCTGAAGGACACAGCTGTTCTTGACAAACACATCTCACCCCGACCAGGGCCAGCGATGAACGCAGTCCTGGTGATTTTTTGTTTGTTTTTTTAATTGCAAGTTTTCAAGCCAGAATCCGCTGGCAGTCTGGAGATGAATTCCTCCAGGCACGGAGATAGTATCATGTTGGTAATAATAGGGAATCACAGCCCGGAGCTGGTGGCTCGTGGTAAATCTGAGCTTCTCAAGAGGCTGAGAATTGAGAACTGCAGTTGGAAACCAGCTCGGGGGGAAGTCAAGTCAATGAGATCCTTATCTCCAAGGAACTACTCAGAAAAAGCCCAAAGTGCAGCTGAGGCTCAGGTGGTAGAGCGCTAGCCTTGAGCAAAAGAAGCTCAGAGCCAGAGGCCAGGACCTGAGTGCAAGCCAAGGTTGGCACATACACACACACACACACTAGTAATAATAATAGCAACAATAATAATAATAATAGAATAATGATGATCACAGTGTAAGGTAATGGCTCACACCTGTAATCCTAAGCCCTAGGACTGACACCATAAAAGAAAATGGAGGTAAAATTGTTCAGTCTAATAAGCTTGGTTTTAAGGAAACCCTACCTTCCAGCTCACTAAAGCACATGGACACGTTTTCATTTACAACTTCAGGGGCTGTCTCTGGCTTCACTCTACACTACTGGCACAAAATGAGATAAGTATCTCCGATATTAAGCCAAGTGTTGGTGGCTCCCGATGTAATCCTAAGATGCTGAGATCCTGCAGTTCAAAGCCAGACTGGAGAAGGAAAGTCTGTGAGACTCCTATCTCCAGTGAGACGCTAGAAAAACCAGAAGTGGAGCTGTGGCTCAAGTGGTAGAGCATTAGCCTTGAGCCAAAGAGCTCAGGGACAGCACCTAGGCACCAAGTTCAAGCCCCATGACTGACCAAGAAAAGAAAATGCCCTTACGAGCCTCAGAAGCCATAGTCTGCAAGCTTCCCTCTGCTGACTGGATGCACGGCTACCTGGTAGCAGTCAGGAAGCAATTAGTTGTCTGCCTTGGGTAGGAAGCCTGACATCTCCCTGCATTTCCAAAGGCATCGATGGCATCCACGCTCCTCGACTCACACCCAGGACATGTGTTCCACAGGAGGGGGAGCACGTGGCCTCCTCGGGTTCAACACAACTTACAAAGCCATCTCTGTTCACTAGAAAAGCCCTTTACATTCTTTGGCTGTGTTAAGTCAGCGACGTGTCGCTGGGAGCCAAGATGATTTGGGCACTGTCCATGCTGGAGGTTTTTTCTTCTTGGACCAGAGCAGAAATGGGACAAAATGCATGGGATTTTGTTCACTCCACTGACACATGACTACGTTCATTCCCAAAGCAAGGGTTCAGGCTGATCTGATGCCAAGAACACGGGGTGCTGGTGGCTCACGCCTATAACCCCAGCTACTCAGGAAGCTGAGATCTGAGGATCGTGGTTCAAAGCCAGCCCGGGCAGGAAAGCCCAGGAGACTCTTATCTCCAATGAATCACCAGAAAACTGGTGCTGTGGCTCAAGGTGGCTTGGAGCAAAAGGAGCCGAGAGACAGCACCCAGGAACTGGAGTTCAAGCCCTGTGACTAACAAAAACAAACAAAAAACGTTGACAGGCGCCGATGGCTTACATCTGTAACCCTTAGTTACTCAGGAAGATGAGATCTGAAGATCACAATTGCATGCCAGTTTGGGCAGGAAAAATAATCTGTGAGACAAACCTGAAAGATTCTTATCTCTGGGGCTGGGAAGGTGGCTCAGTGGTAGAGTGCTTGCCTTGCATGCCTGAGGCCCTGGGTTCGATTCCTCAGCACCACATACACAGAAAAAGCCGGAAGTGGTGCTGTGGCTCACGTGGTAGAGCGCTAGCCTTGAGTACAAAGCTCCAGTAAGAGCTAAGTAAGACAGAGAAGCCGCCAGGCGCTGGTGGCTCACATCTGTAATCCTAGCTACACAGGAGGCTGAGATCTGAGGATCATTCTCTTGCTCACGCACACCAGAAGATTCTCAGAGTTCTGGCTATGGCATCACACAGCTGCTACCGACAGAAGAGTTCTGGGGGTGGGGGCGCCCCCAGACAGGGCAGCTCAGGAGACCCTCCCACCCTGACTGAAGTCTGGGGTGCCCTCACCGCTTAGCACTTGCCCGGTGTGCTCCAGCCCCATGCTCATACCTGAGTGTTCCACAGCTGCTTTAAATCTGAGGATGTCCTAGGGAAGATGAGTGTTTATGGGACATGAACTCAGGGTCTCGGTGCTGTCCATTAGCTTTCCCCCTCCACACACACATACATTGAGCCAAGCTTCAGCTTTGGGCTGGTTAACTGGAGATGAGCGTCAGGAACTTTCTTGCATGGGGCTGCCTCTAACTGCAATCTGCAGATCTCAGCTTCCTGCGGAGCTAGGATTACAGGTGTGAGCCACCAGTGCTGGCTATGTTGTTTGCTTTGAAAGCATAGCACTACTCCGGATATACGGGCTATCTTACACGTGTGTTAAGAGTACACATTGGTGAAAACGAGCCAAAGAAAACAACAGCCATATAAGCTCAGATCATAAGTCCAAGTTATGCATTTTTCTCATACCTTCCCATAATAGGCACCAAGTCAACAAGAGATGTTTATATTCTACTCTGAAAAGAGAGCAAGCACAGGACTGGGTGGTACCAGGAAGCAAGGGCTAGCCAGGTTCTGAAGCAGCCCTGACACCCGCAGCAGCTCACGCCTGTAATCCAAGCTTCTTAGGAGACTGAGATCTAAGCAACCAGGAGAATGTGCTGGGTCAAGGCTAGGTCTGGGTATGTCTGCCTGATGGAGGGCAACCACAGAGACCTGCCTCAGAGGCCAGAGTAAACTGAGGCACGCTCCTGGGAGCTGGGAGCCTAGACCAAGTGCCATAGCCCTGGCAATGTAGCATTGATAGGATTCTCCCTCAACACCCTTCCAGGATCTGCCCACACCCCCCGCCCCCACGCCATGTGTTTCCATGTGGCTCCAGTGAACCAGATCAACACACAAGGAACATTTTATAACAGCAGCTGACCACTGCGGTCTGGGTTGCACCCTCTATAACACAAAAAAGCCTGGAGTTAAAACAGAAAAAAAAAAGGGGGGTCGGGGGGAGGTTCTTTTTCTGTTGATCGTGGAACTTGAACTCAGGGCCTGACGCTGTCCCTGAGCTCTTTCATTCAAGGCTATCACCCTACCACTTTGAGCCACAGCGCCACTTCCGGTTACCTGGTGGTTCATTGGAGGTAAGAATCTCACGGACTTTCCTTCCTAGGACTGGCTTCAAACCATGAACCTCTAATCTCAGCCTCTTGAGTAGCTAGGATGACAGGCCTGAGCCACCAGCACCCAGCTGGGTTTTTATTTTAAGTGCCTCTGGTTTGTCTCTCTCTCTCTCTCAACTGCTTCCTTAGTTTCTGACTCTTCTCGGGTGAAGCCCAAGGTATCCATCACACTTAAAAAGAACAAGTCAGGTAACAGGAACCCGGAGTCCATTCTCCCTGGTGAGGCTTGGCTATCAAGTCCAGGGCAAGGCTCTGTTTGTTTCTGCTTTGTAAGCGAGGGTAAGTGTTCAGGGCCACACAGGCCACACAACCTCTTTGAGGAAACACTGCTATCAAAACAAATAAGTTTCCTTTCTCATTCAAAGTAGGGAGAAAATAACAAGGCCCTCCCTCCACTCAGCCACGAAGCCTTTTCCAGGAACACTTACATTTGTTCCTGAGGCGGTGAGAATCTGTTTGTACTCGTGATATCAAAGTTCTTTTATTGATCTATGATCAAATCTGCTTTAAACACAGAGGGGGGAAATACTCATTTTGTTCCAGTTTAAATTAAAACAGGCTATATTTGTGTGTGTGTGTGTGTGTGT